AAAGACTGATAATGGCAGTCATAAGGGAGAACGATGTCAAATATATGTTCCTATATACATTTTAGAAACCCCCTCGCATTAGTCTAAACTATTTCATTGATTTATTTTGTAATTTGCAATGGTAATATAATACAAAGTATAGTGTTATAAATGTAAAACATTTTTTTAAATGAAAATATAAAAAACTTTGGAGGATTTACAATGCCGATGACCATTGAAACACGTCATCACAGTCTTGTGAAAAGAATAGTGTTCATTTAGTCATGTAACAGTGAGAAAGAGATGCCGACTCACTTATATTTTGACTGTAAAGTCGTAAACAGGTTTTGGATGGATTTGGCAGAGTTTATATTTAATTAAATGAATATTAATTATTGCTTTACTTTAAAGGATGTTATCTTGTATTATGAATACAAAAGCAACAAAGATCTAGAATTACTTGTTAACCTTTTTATTTTATTAGCAAAACTGCACATGCATAATCAAAAATATCTTAATTTGTCTCCTTTGTAAATTTAGTTTTGTTCTGATTTTGACTTTTATATTTCTTCAATAAGACTGTTAAAAAATAAAAGGTCTGTGACATGTTTAAAATACTATGATACAATCTTCAATCCCCCTGGTACTTTGTAATATCTTTATTTGTTCAAATTAAATGTGAGCTATGCTTTTTTTGTTTCTTATTTGTTTATCATTTGTATTGCTATTATTTGTATGTTCCTTTTTTTTACAATAAAAAAAAGTGTTCATTTGGTCATGTGATCTCAGTATTGGCCCTAATGAAAAGACCCGCTCCATGTAGAATAAGCTTTTATTAGGTATAAGCCTTTGAACGACCTTTTAAACATTTTTCTCAAAACTACTATTAATTTCTTCGAGGGTTACTTTTAGTGAGGAAAAGAGAGGTTCCACTACTATTATTTATACACGGTCGCCACCTGGCGTCAGACTGGAGTACTGATTTTCTGGACTATATCACATGCGTCAAAGACGCGGATTGGTCAGTTGTCACAAGGTGCGCGCAACCCTCTTGTCTACCAAATGTAAGTTAGCTGTTAGTGTTCCAGATTTGTCGTTAAAAATGACGCTGTTTATGAACGCTTGCGCTCTTTTAGTCAATGTCCTCACTCTACCGCTGCACATTGCGGAGGTGATTGGACTTATGTCTTTCTACAAACGCGTCTTTCCTCTAATCGTCTATAAAGTTACGTTCTCCTACAATGACAAAATGAACGACAACAAAAGGGAACTATTTCGAAACCTGGACAAATTCTTCCCCCCGAAAGGCTCTCTGCGCATCCTGGAGCTGGGCTGCGGATCCGGGGCGAACTTTGAGCATTACCCGACGGGCTGCAGGATCACATGCATCGACCCCAACCCGCATTTCCAAAAGTACCTGGAGAAAAGCATGGCGAAGAACGACCACCTCGTTTATGACAGCTTCATTGTGGCGTCGGGGGAGAATCTGAAGGCGGTGGAGGACAACTCAATGGATGCTGTGGTGTGCACGCTGGTTCTGTGCTCAGTCCAGGATACGCAGAAGGTTCTGCGAGAAGCAAAGAGAGTTCTGAGGCCTGTAAGTTTAGGACAGTCAGTGCTCAGCTGGTGGAAGTCCAATATTTTTTAATGGTATTTTATGGTCTGCGCACTCCCAAGCCGTTATGCTTCAAAGAGTAATTATTGATTACATGAAGTTTATTTGAGATGAAAGGTAACAGCATTACGTAACTTTGCTGCGATAAACCCATTTGAAACAGCTGTTTGTTTAAGGGCAGATGTCACCATGCTGTTTTTAAATGCTGGAACATTTTAAGCTAAACAACCTATATTCAAATACACAATTATGGGTTGAGAAATATAATTTAGCATTTTTTTTTTCTTCAGGGAGGTGCATTTTTCTTCCTTGAACATGTGGTGTCTGACCCCTCAAGCTGGATTTACTTTTTTCAACATGTTCTTCAACCATTCTGGTAATGTAATATAAAAACTAGCAGTATTTATAAAATCACCATTATACTTTACTTATGGTCTCTACTGAATTTTAATAACTTTTATAATAATAGTAATAATAGTTATTTATCTCAAGCTAAAGTAAATAAAATTAGGATAAATTTCATATAGTGGCAAATGTAAAGCTAAAAGACTTGAAAAAATATGAGTTGGTAAAATGCCTGTGTAAATATAGCAAATATAGATGCATTCAATCACCCACACATAACTAAATCCTTTTTTTTTTTACTTTACTTTGAAACCATACACTTAACAATTTTACATAATGATGGAATACTGGAATACTTGTAACAAAGCATGTGACCACTATAGAATAAGAAAGTCTATGCTTTACTTGTATGTTTGTCAGGTACTATTTCGGTGATGGCTGTGAGACAACCCGTGCTACTTGGAAGCACCTTGAGGCAGCTGGATTCTCTGACCTGCAGCTACGTCACATGCAAGCTCCTCTGTTTTTTATGATCAAACCACACATTGTTGGTTATGCAGTCAAATGATGAAAATTAATTTAGCCAAAAAAACGTCAGTAACCTTCATTCAAAATGGATTCATTTCACCATCTACTTTTAAATGTTTTTGTATGAAAGACCAATAAAATGAAACCATAAAATAGAATGTTTTTGTTTAATGTGCAAAATCTCAAGACTGCATTGTATATTTTATATGACTGTATCTTGTTGCATGAGTATCCCGTTTGTAAAACACATTACTATTATGATTAATTACAAAAATACCAGCAGGTAAAACAACAAAATACTTTTATCTATATAAAAAGGCGTTTGGAGATAAATGCAGGCCAGCTTTTGTGTTGTTGTGGTTAATGCATAAACGAGCCATACTGCGTATCTCGTGGTTAGGAGGAATTAATTAATTACTTAATAATTTTGACTTCATGCTGTATACTTTTGTAATATAGTTAAAAGTGCATAAATACTCAAAAAGACCACTTTGCATTCTCCACCTTTACATTTTGACAGACAGTTTTTTTTCCCAACACTTCTGACTATTAAAGATCCTGTTAAACATATTGTACTCAAAAAGGTTATAAATTAGAAAATAGAACAATGTATTTTTTAGTACAGAAATTAATTTGGCTTTTTTAATGGTTTTCCTAAGTCTGGAAAATAACCATTTTAAAATGACCTTATATTTTTATGTTGTCCTTGAGCACTATTCTTTAAATGTGGTATGAATAATAAAAATAAAACTATATATTTTTAAATGTGAAGTAAATATGAAATAGTTCTCTGGCTATCTTTTTAATGCAACAACAAAGACATTATGTTTTCCCAAATATTGACCAACATCATTTCATAAGCTAACCTTGCATCTCCTGTCTGACCATCTGAGTGGAGTTTTTCCCAAGAGCCTCCTTGAAACTGAGCTTAAAATAAAAAAAAAAGAGTACTGCCCTGATTGGATTATATCATATGCATAGAAGATTTTGATTGGTCAGATGCCATGCGAATAATGTATAACATATAATGGGGAGTCGACTAGACAGTTACTGTGTTTGAAATCGCTCACTTTGTTCACCAAGTTTTTAATCGTTATATAGCATGGCAGTTTAGTGCACTATATCAGCAAGGAGTGAACAAAATGAAGCAAAGAATTCGTACAGTGACGTAAATGCACTGTGCGTACTACACGGCTAAGGCTAGATGGTATACAGATTCATCTACTGGGCATGCGCACATCAATATAGCATCATTTTTGTCACACTGTACAACAGTAATTACTTTTTTGAATTATTGTAAGGGGTAGGTTTAGGGTTGGGGTAGGTGTAGACATTTATAAAATGATCTAATAAGTAGACAAATTTATTGTTAGCTTCCAGTTTTAGCTGAATCCCTTCTAGCCACAGAAACCCTGCGTAATACCAAAGACTATAGAATACCCAAGACGTGCCACTTGAATAGTTTTGAATGGGGAAAAATAGTGATGGGTCATTCTTTGAACGATTAGTTCATTTTGAATGAATCTTTAATGTGACTCGGGAAGAACGAGTCGTCTCTGCGAGTGATTCGTTCAGTCTCGCATGCGCAACATCCTATAGGTTCTGTACTTGAATTAGGCCCTGTCCCAAATGGCACCCTAAACCCTTGCGGTCTTCCTCTGAGTCCACACTTTCGTGACGTAATGCCGCTTTGACTGTTGGGTAGAAGTCTGCTGCGGAGCTCAGCCCGGTGCGGGCTCGGCAGAAGTGCAGATCGAGGGCGCATAGCGGCCACAAAGAGGGCGCTCGCAAGCACACTTCTGAACCCTAAAATGACAAATGGGACACTCTACGGTCTCATGGACTTAACGGACACTCGCATGCGGCGGCCATTGTAAGTCTGTAAGACCGCAAGTGCACATGAAGTGTTTCATTTGGGACAGGGCCTTAGTCAAGTAGTTCACCTGTTTCGAGTCTTCGGGTTTTTTTCGAGTCGTTCGTTCATCACGTGACAGACCTGTAAGCTTGAAGGGCACTTCGGGAAAGGGACGCCATTTGTAGGGACATTCCAAATGAAAGTGAACAAATGAATCCCTTCACGAAGGGCCCTTCCAGAAGTCCGTTAGCGAAGGGAACATGTGATGGTCACTTCACGGAAGTGATTTCCGTTTGTGATCATGTGATCTTCAGTTAGGAGATCTTGCGATGCTTTTTAAAGCAAAGTTGGGGTTGATTTCGAGTTCACATACAAATATAAATAGAATAATTCAATTTGACTATAATAATGTAAGACAACATATTTTTCGTCAGTGATAGAAATATGATTTAAGACGGTAGTGTAAGCAAGTTTAGTTTGAAAGCGGTTTAATAGTAAACAATACACAATTAGACAATATTTGAATAAAATAATATGAAGAAGAAATATTTATTTGCAACAACTGGTGGAGTGCTGAATGCTGCACACACGCGCAGCGTTGTCAAGGTAACATTTGGTCCGTCATTCCCTTCACCAAGGGAGTTCCAAATGCTTATAAGAGACAGTAATGCCCTACACCCTTCAAAGAACACACTTCAAGGGCTCTGCCCTTCGAAAGGGACTAGGGCATAGGGATGCTCACTTCCGTTTAGAATTCGCCCTTAACCTATGCAGTCTGAGCCGGAAAGAGAATTGATTAGTTTTTTTATCTTCAGGTTTTTTGAGTCGTTCGTTCATCACGTGACAGACCTGTAAGCTTGAAGGGCACTTCGGGAAAGGGACGCCATTTGTAGGGACATTCCAAATGAAAGTGAACAAATGAATCCCTTCACGAAGGGCCCTTCCAGAAGTCCGTTAGCGAAGGGAACATGTGATGGTCACTTCACGGAAGTGATTTCCGTTTGTGATCATGTGATCTTCAGTTAGGAGATCTTGCGATGCTTTTTAAAGCAAAGTTGGGGTTGATTTCGAGTTCACATACAAATATAAATAGAATAATTCAATTTGACTATAATAATGTAAGACAACATATTTTTCGTCAGTGATAGAAATATGATTTAAGACGGTAGTGTAAGCAAGTTTAGTTTGAAAGCGGTTTAATAGTAAACAATACACAATTAGACAATATTTGAATAAAATAATATGAAGAAGAAATATTTATTTGCAACAACTGGTGGAGTGCTGAATGCTGCACACACGCGCAGCGTTGTCAAGGTAACATTTGGTCCGTCATTCCCTTCACCAAGGGAGTTCCAAATGCTTATAAGAGACAGTAATGCCCTACACCCTTCAAAGAACACACTTCAAGGGCTCTGCCCTTCGAAAGGGACTAGGGCATAGGGATGCTCACTTCCGTTTAGAATTCGCCCTTAACCTATGCAGTCTGAGCCGGAAAGAGAATTGATTAGTTTTTTTATCTTCAGGTTTTTTGAGTCGTTCGTTCATCACGTGACAGACCCATAAGCTTAACCAGCACTTCGGGAAAGGGACGCCATTTGTAGGGACATTCCAAATGAAAGTGAACAAATGAATCCCTTCACGAAGGGCCCTTCCAGAAGTCCGTTAGCGAAGGGAACATGTGATGGTCACTTCACGGAAGTGATTTCCGTTTGTGATCATGTGATCTTCAGTTAGGAGATCTTGCGATGCTTTTTAAAGCAAAGTTGGGGTTGATTTCGAGTTCACATACAAATATAAATAGAATAATTCAATTTGACTATAATAATGTAAGACAACATATTTTTCGTCAGTGATAGAAATATGATTTAAGACGGTAGTGTAAGCAAGTTTAGTTTGAAAGCGGTTTAATAGTAAACAATACACAATTAGACAATATTTGAATAAAATAATATGAAGAAGAAATATTTATTTGCAACAACTGGTGGAGTGCTGAATGCTGCACACACGCGCAGCGTTGTCAAGGTAACATTTGGTCCGTCATTCCCTTCACCAAGGGAGTTCCAAATGCTTATAAGAGACAGTAATGCCCTACACCCTTCAAAGAACACACTTCAAGGGCTCTGCCCTTCGAAAGGGACTAGGGCATAGGGATGCTCACTTCCGTTTAGAATTCGCCCTTAACCTATGCAGTCTGAGCCGGAAAGAGAATTGATTAGTTTTTTTATCTTCAGGTTTTTTGAGTCGTTCGTTCATCACGTGACAGACCCATAAGCTTAACCAATGCAGTCTGAGCCGGAAAGAGATTTAAAGGGGTCCTATTATGCTCTTTTACAGAGTCTTGATTTTGTTTTGGGGATATACTAGAACAGGCTCTCATACTAGGTATTTTTCACATATTTTACATTATTACAACACCTCTCTCCCCAGTCTGGCATGAACGGCTCGAATAGTTCCTGTATCAAATGAAGGCCCGCCTTCTGAAATACGAAATGTGCTATGATTGGTTCGCTGGGCCAGTGTGTGTTGTGATTGGCACCATTCGGTGCCTGGACGGGAAATGTCATGCCCCTTATCATAGCCGCATGCTAGCTTCAGTGTAAATATTGCGTCAAAATCAAGTGATTTAAACCCGGATGATTGTAACCACTCTTAAGTTCATCTGCCTTGGGAAAGCTAGCGTGTCTCCGACATAGTGATAACACTCGTTACCTTCTGTAGTGCAGCTCAACCAGGTCTCTTCCCATTCGTCTATATTTGTGATATCACAAATCCCAGAAATTATGCGTTGTAGTCCAAACGAGTTGTTCGTTGTAGTTTTTGAAAAAATGTCTGTTTTTCAACTTTGCAACTTTTTTATGCTCAAACAGCAGACTAACCAAAGTTGAAAAATTGAAAAAGCATAATAGGACCCCTTTAATAATAATAACCTACTCTTTATTACCTTTATTACCACATTCAGTGTTATGGAAAAGAACCATCATGACAGAAATTCACACATTTATAAACTGTAAGATGTAAAAAGATACAATTTGAGACCAGAAACGCATCACGTAACTGTAAGAGTAAATAATAATTATAATAATGATGGTAATAATAATAATAACTATGCACCCGTTTGTAAGGAAGCTTGTAAATTAACAAATTTCTCTATCCACTCTATCTATGCTGTCACGTCACGTGACAAAAGAACGACCGATTTGAAAGTCCTCACTCTACCGCTCTACGTCGCAGAGTTGGTTGGACTTTTGTCTTTCTACGAACGCTTCTTTCCTCGGTTCGTATATAATTTCACGGTAGCGTATAATGAAATGATGAAGGAAAAGAAAAGGGAACTATTTCGAAACCTAGACAAATTCTTCCCCCCGAAAGGCTCTCTGCGCATCCTGGAGCTGGGCTGCGGATCCGGTGCGAACTTTGAGCATTACCCGACGGGCTGCAGGATCACATGCATTGACCCCAACCCGCATTTCCAAAAGTACCTGGAGAAAAGCATGGTGAAGAACGACCACCTCATTTATGACAGCTTCATTGTGGCGTCGGGGGAGAATCTGAAGGCGGTGGAGATAATCCATCCACCTCACAGGTGTGGCATATAAAGATGCTGATTAGACAGCATGATTATTGCACAGGTGTGCCTTAGGCTGGCCACAATAAAAGGCCACTCTAAAATGTGCAGTTTTACTGTATTGGGGGGTCC